TATACCTCCAGCCGCTATGAACATTTTTCTACAGTGACATTTGAGTGGAATGGGGTCGTGGGGCTATAATGTCTAGTGATCTCAGAAACTATCAGATTATTTTGCAGAGAGGTGCTTCTGTATCATACTCTCAACCCAGTATCTGCTTCCCAATCAGCACCTGCCATTGCCTTCCCTTAGAGCTTAAGCCGTTTGACATCAGCATGAGTTTTATTTGTATTTCTTTGATGACCACTGATATCAAGGGCTTCGTATATGCTTATTAGCTGTTCTGTTATCTTGGGACTGGTATTCAGCAGTATAAAGGAACAAATTGCAAATATCCACATCAGCATGAGCAAACTGCAAAACCATTAGGTTGAATAAAAAATTCAAATATATTAAAAAATAGTCTCACAGTATGATTCCATGTAATTTTCCAACAGCTCACAAGCAAAACTAATCTGTTGTAATACAAGTTAAAGTAGTGAAAGTCTCTGGAGTGGACTGTGGCTTAACAGTGTAAGGAGATGCTTTAGGATAAAGACAGTGTTTTAAATCTTGAGGGAGGAGGTCTTATGAGTATAATCCACATGTAAATCACTTTTATTAAAAACTTTACCAGTGAATGTTTTGATTAAAGGTTTCTGATTCTTCTCTACCAGCAAACAACACTTTTGTTCTCAAGTCCTGAGCTCTGTACCACTCTCTTCCTGTGAATGTCCTGGTTCTGTCTTTGAACATTGTTCCTCCATGAGGTGAGAATCGAGAACTTAGAATCGAGAACTCACTTCTCTAGTCAATAAGTTCTCAGTTCTATTAGTGAAGATTCCTCTTCTTTCCAGTGGGAATTTGAGGGGGATAATTTAATTTATTCTTCAATTTTGTTCTCATAAATCCTGTTAAACAAACTATAAAGTTGGGCTTGGGGCATTTGAATAACGTATATTGATTCTTTCCCAGAACTTAATTTAATGCCATGATTCTGCAGTTAGCTCATTTCTTTTTGTCCCACAGAAGGAAGCAAGAAGCCCACAGTATTCCTGCAGGGACAGCATCTTCTGCAGCCAGGCAAGTCTCATTCCAATGGTGCAGTGTGTTATGTAACAACTGACATGGGCTCTGACATGGGCTCTTCCTGCTGCTCCCTCTCCACTTGTTTGAGTTTACCAAGGGATGAAGTTGGTACTCATAACTTGCTACAACACAAGCTTGTTCTGAGAAGAATTTTATACCCATCCTGCAGCCTAGTATTTACCAGTGATATATCTATATCTATATCTCTATCTCTATCTCTATCTCTATCTCTATCTCTATCTCTATCTCTATCTCTATCTCTATATCTATATCTATATCTATATTCATACATATATGTATGATGTTAATACAGTGCAAGTAGGGTGAGATTTTTGTTTGTTTAGTTTGTTTTGAGTATAGTAATGAACATTAATTGGGAGTTTCTATCCGACCTTAGATCATTTAATTCCCAAATAAAATACAGAAAACCTTTATATTTATAATTAGTCTTTAAGCAGTAGAGCGGGGCAGATATCAACCCTCTATGCCATTTTTTCTATTTTTCTGTCAATAACCCTGAGATATCATTTGCCGTCTTCTGCCTGGGCTGCTCCTACTTCAAGTGGCTGGTCCTCGTGGTCATGGTCTCATTATCCACCAAGCCCATGGCATCTTCACCCTTCTCCTCTATCTCCCCATTCTTCTCACAGACCCCAAGCCCAGGAAAGGAAGCCCTGCCTACCTCTCTTCTGCCCAGCTACAGGCTGTAGGAATCCTTACTGATCAATCAGGGGTAACTTGGGGGCAAGTTTACATAGCATCCCTTGGTGTACATGAGGATCCCCTCACTGTGGGGCAACCAGACTTTGGGGGCCAGTGTTTAGCATTATAATACATAGCAACAGACCAAACCTCAATGTCTGGGTTTTGGTTTTATATTTTGTTTGAACTTGAAAAACTGAAGAGGTAGTTCAGTAGTGCACTTGCTCCACAAATATTAGGACTCAGATCCCCAGTACACCACAAAATCTCATGTGGGAACATGTGTCTGTCATCACAGTACTCCTATGGTTAGATGAGAAAAGACTTCCAGATTCTTGTAAGCTAGCTATCCTGGTGTACATCGCAACAAGTACTAAGTGAGCCTTTCTCAAAGAAGGCGGAAGGTGAGCACCAATATCTAAAGTTATCCTCTGTTCTCCACTTGTGTACTCACATTCACATACTCACACACATATGTGCACATAATCAACACATATATACACAAAATTATGCTATAATATACACAATTTATTTAAAATTTACTCATTTTAAAGTCTATGTATGGCTCAGTGCATTAAAGATCTTCATATTGTTGTGTTATCTTCACCAGCCATCTCCAGAGGCCTTTTTATTTTGTAAGCAGGAATTCCATATTTGTTTAACACTGTTCCTCTTCCACAGCTCCTGGAACCATCATTTCACCTTCTATCTCCATGGATGTGTCTGCTATAGACATCTCTCACAAGTGAGATCATACAGTATTGACGTTCTGGACCTGGCTTTTCTCAGTTAGTACAATGCTCGCAGGGCTCATTTACAATGCTCTGTATATGAATCTTTCCTTCTTAGGGCTGAATACCAACCTGAACTATGTATAAATCTGTGCTAACATTTTCTTTAGCCACTTCTCCATCCATGGACAGCTGGGATGCTTTTCCCTTTTGCCGATTATATGACTCTTCTGTGAATTTGAGAGTGCAAGTAATGTTTAAGTACCTGCTTTCAGTTTGGAGTTTGGGGTGTATGCAAGTAGCTATAAGTAAAACTGCTGGGATATGAAATAACACTATTTTAAATGATATTTTTAGGCACTGTCAGTTTTTTGTTTGTTTATTTTTATAGTGGTTGTACAATTTTTATAACTTTTTATTGGTTCTCTGTGAATTTCACACTATGCATCCCACTCATCTCTCCCTTCCCTCAAACCGACTCCCAACCCTTGCAACCTCCCTCCTCAACAGAGGTGGAAAGAAATCTCACTGTGGAAGCTGTAGTGTGTCCCACTGTGTCCCACCATATACCCTTTTATCCATACTTCTTTGTTTGCAAATGTTCATTGCAACAAGTCATATGAGGTCTCTGGCTTCTGCTACTCTATCAATACTGGAAAGTCATGTCCTTTGTCATGGAGACCCTATAGTTTGCAATCCGTAGGACCAGTCCCTTCATGCACTCTAGCGGTTTGTTAATGGGGTAGATTTTGGGGTCTGCCTGAGAGGTATCTGAGCTCAACATCAAATAGGGTCTCCCACTCTCATGCCCTCTAGGCTGGCTCACCAGCATTACCCACAACCAGGGCCAACTCTACTCTGCTGCCCAGGAGAGATGTAGGGGCCACTCTCCCGAGTGTTGAAGCTGTTGAGGACATAGTCTCCTTCTTTCATGACTCCTGGGGCCATCTCTCACCTGCCATAAATGGTGAGAAATGAGGGAGGGGAGGAAGGCATCTCTCTCTCATCCACACCACTGCCCAGCACACAAGAGGCAGGGCTGGCACTCCCACACTCATACCCTTGGTGTCTGTTAACCTGCAAGCCCTACATCCAGAGTTAACTCTACTGTGCTGGCCAGTGATGTGCAAGGCCTGCTTTCCTGAGTGCTGTATCAGGTGAGGGGCAGGGGCAGGGGCAGGGGCAGGGGCAGGGGCAGGGGCAGGG